GAACCCTGATAGCTTGGGGCCATCCCAGAATCCCCTCCATCATCCAGGGGTCAAGGCCTTAAACCCAGTCTGATTTAAATCTGAGCCACAGACACACTGAGGTCAGGAATATATACAAAGGCCCAGTTCCAAACCGCCCCCTACACACTACCCCTCCGTCTGCGCGTTCTCCAGAGAGGCTACAAGTACACACATCCTGTACTCAAGTAGAAGTACACACATCCTTTACTCAAGCAGAAGAACACACATCCTGTACTCAAGTAGAAGTACACACATCCTTTACTCAAGTAGAAGTACACACATCCTTTACTCAAGTAGAAGAACACACATCCTGTACTCAAGCAGAAGAACACACATCCATTACTCAAGTAGAAGTACACACCTCCTGTACTCAAGTAGAAGTACACACCTCCTTTACTCAAGTAGAAGTACACACATCCTGTACTCAAGTAGAAGTACACACATCCTTTACTCAAGTAGAAGTACAGATACTCGTGTTTAAAAATACTCTGGTGAAAGTAGAAGTACTGACTAAACTTCTTTACTCATGTCAAAGTAAAGAGGCTTTGAAATGTACTTCAGTAAAAAGTACCCATAACTAGCAGCTGTTTTAAAGAGTACCTGACCTCCCTTTATATTAATAGAACAATAATGTCATTGTTAGCTAATGAATGTTTCCATGGTGACCAACGGCAACATGACAACGTTTTCATTGGTCCCTCTTCTTTAGAGAAGACCAGGAAATGATGGATTTCTTTTTGAACCCTAACCCAACCCTTTTTTTTTTACTTCTTCCTGAAAACTTCAGAATTCTGTAAGAAATTAAATGTATTGAAAGTATTGTGGTACATTAAAGTTTTTCCAACGTTCTGCAACACAGACTAGTACAATGGTATGTTAGAGCTTTTGCTTTTAAATCCTAAAATATTATAAAAACGATACTTCCATGTTGGCCGACTTCTGTTCTGTGATGCAAGGTCATCAGTTCTTCTTCAGATAAAACCGTGTGTGCCAAACACACTGAGAACCTAGATTGATTCGTGAAGCCCTTGAGTTTGACGTGTACTTCATATGATACATCACTTTGCAGCAGAAGGTACAATAAGAGTCAGAACATCATGTCTGTGATGTTGATACTTATTACCGTGTAAAGTCACCTTCTGCAGATTGATGCTACTCGGCATCAATAAGAAAAGCCATTCTCTGAACTGAAGCTGGAGGTTTTTTATGTGTATGGATGTTTAGTTTGAACTCCCATCTTGTTTTGTATTTATATGTTGAGCAGAAATGTGAGTACAGAAGAAGACTGGGGACACATTCATTTTGAATTCTGAGAAAAAGTTAGAATTAAAAAATATATATATGTTTTACCCGAAAAAAATGTTTTTGCTTATTTTAAGAATAAATACAAAATCTCCAAAAAGTTGAGAGTAAAAAGTAAAAATTCCGAAGTAAATTATTTTCCCGAATTCTGAAAAAAAGCCAGAATTCTGCAAAAATATATAAAAAGTTCAGACAAAAAATAGGTCAAAAAAAAAAAAAGGAATTCTGTTTTTTATTTTCGAATTTCTTCCTGAAAATTTCGGAATTCTGAGAAAAAAAATTCTGAATTCTGACTTTTTGCTCAGAACAAAAAAAAAGGCTAGTAAAATGTAATGTTAGAGCTTTTGTTTTTAAATCCTAAAATATTGTGTATGAGTGATCGTCCAAGTCTTTGAGATCAGTGTCATTAAACCATTAAGCCATTAAGATGTGAAGTTTAACGTGTTCTAGCCAGGTTGGTAGTTGAGTTGTGTTGAACTCAAAGACTATACATAAAGGAATAAACTATATTTAATGATCGCAGCTCCGAAGTTTCACCAGTTTGTGACTCCTCCTCTTTCTGTGCGCTCACAGGCTGGACTTCTCTCTGACCGAAGATGAAGTGAACAACACGATTATCTTAAACCTGGAGGTGTACAGGTACGATGAGCTGGATACTCATCAGCATGGTTTCATGGATAGATTATACTATATTAATGTCTATCAATATTTTCATTAATATCTTAAAATTCAAGCCTCTTTGCAGAAAAAGGCCAACACATTTTGGGAGTTATTTTTTTTAAGTAAAGCCAGAATGTTAAGAAGAAAAGTCGGAATCTTTTTAAGAAAAGTCGAATATTTTTGAAGAAAAGTCGAATTTTTAGAAGAAAAGTCGAAATCTTTGGAAGAAAATTCCGAATTTTAAAAAGAAAAGTCGGGATTTTTTGAAGAGAAATCATTTTTCTTTTTAAAGAAAAGTCGATTTTTTTTTGAAGAAAAGTCGGAATTTTTGGAAGAAAATTCAGAATTTTTGGAAGAAAAGTCGGAATTGTTGGAAGAAAAGTAAAAAAAAAATCAATTAAATTCCTGATAATTTCAAAATTCTGAAGAAACGATAAACATTTCCCGAAACCATTTTTTTCCCGGCATACTGCAAATAAAGTCGGAACATATTTTCAGTTTTCCAGTTGTTACTTTTCCTTAGCTGTGTGTGTTTCCTTTCTCCGGGTTAACTCACACTTTTTACCTTAAATTAAAAAGGATCTCAATTAAATATCTCTTCACAACCGTCACTACTTGAAGCATTTAAAGTCCCGACAGAGTTCAAACGACTTCATGACTAAAGTAGATTACAGGTGCGTACATCTGATTCATGTGAAGCTAAGATAAGATAAGTACTTTACTAATCCCAATTTTGGAATTTCTTTTGTTGCAGCAGCATAAAACAAAACAAGGCATTCCACATAACAACAAAGAGTAGAAATAAACAATTCTAAAATATAAACATCTCAAAACAGAAAAAGAAATAAGCCAGCATTAGAGAGACGAATATACAGATGGAACTGTACCTGACAAATAAAACGCTGTTGAAGGGCCAGTTTTCTGTGAACGCAATATAAGCAGGAAACACATCAAGCGTGCATGGAATGGAATATTCAATTACATATAAATATAAAATCTACATTGTGAATGTTTTAAGTCCAGTTCTCTTCCAGCCAGAGGTGATTTGTTATTTCGAGTTATATTTCATTAAACTCACCTCCATTCCTCTCAGACACATGGACTCCTCTCTGATCGACGTGGACATTCAGACAACGTACGCCAGAGTCAACGTCAAGGGAAAGGTACGCTGTATTGGTATTTATTTAACGGTCCCCTATTATACAGTTTTTCATCAATATATCACAGGTCTCAGATATATACAGAGCCTGTCTCCGATTGGCTGGAACACCAATAATAATAATACTAATATTGCACATGTTGTATAGCAGCGAGTGTTTTGTAATGGTGATGGTATTTATGTTGCACATAGTGGTGGAAGTTCTCAGTTCCCTTTACTGAAGGGTGAAGAGTTATAAAGTTATATATATTTAAGAAGAGACAACACCCATTAATGAACATGTTGCTCTTCATGTTAACGTGCACGATGCAGACCGGTTGCATGAAGAGGAAACAAACAAAAGCAGATAAATAAAGATAGAAACGAATGATTAACTTACAACCTTATGGATGAGACACTTCATGTATGGTCATCCTCAAACCTGAACTTTCCAACAAACATAAAAGCATTCAAATTTTCTAAAATCTGAAAGGGCAGAGACACACATCTTAAAGGGAAACATACATTGTAGGGCCGTACCTATACAAAACATGTCTATGAAGTGTTTTGCTTAACAGACCAAACAGTTCACCCACTCTGTAGCCATGCCTCAAACTGCTCAAACCCCTCTGTTCCAGCTGTTAGAGAAACAAGGATTTTGGGTCCTTAGCTTAAACAAAAAAAAAAGAGGAGGCGGAGCTAATGCCTGATCAGAATTCTACCGGAGATAAAGTTAAATTCTGCTGTGAGAAAACGCCATCCTGTTCTAAACCACATCAAGGATTATCTCTGAAACAGTATGGAGCTCAAATGCTTTTTCTCTTGCGGGTTTATCACCACAAGGTGAGTTCCTTTTTTTATTTCCTGCTT